GCCGGGATCCGCTAGCTCCAGAGTGAGCCCGGGGCGGGATGGGGTGGGGGAGACCCCGCGCCTCGCACAGGGGGGCTGCCGACTTGGAGAAGTTTGCTGGGCGGCGCCGGGCCCTCGCGCCGAGTTCAGAAGCGGGTTCGGCCGCCTGGTGCCCAGCGCTGGGGCGTGCTGCGAGTCCAGGAGCACCCGAGAAGCCTGAAGCGGAGCTTTGTCTCCGCTTGGGCTACTGCCCCACACTTGGCCTTGGAGCCCGGAGAAGCAGCAGGGCAGGGCTGCTGCGGGTCGGCGGGAGGAAGGCAGGGTAGCAGAGGGCAGGGCGCCCAGGCCCCGGGGGATGGGGAGGGCACTGGGGTCCCCTCTGAGCCGAGCCCACCCCTGAGTGTTCCTCCTCACTCTCTCTGGCTTAAGGCCCCAGCGAGCAGAGGTCAGAATGCCCCCAGGCCTCAGCCCCTCACTTTGGGGAGCTTTGGGGTCCTCACCTCTTGCCGCTCTGTACCAAGAACCCCTTTAGTAAATAAATATCACAGATTCTTATCCAACTGTCCTACCCCCTCTCCATGAGATCTGAGGGTAAAACGCAGGGGGCAGTTTTCTGCGGGGGTGGGCTGGCAGAATCTTTGCCTCTTGCATATTTTGCTGAAAAACCAGCTCTGGCCCCAAATGGTGCAGACATCCTTGTTTTTATCGCCTTGCAAACCATATTCCTGGGGGTGGCCTTAGGCCGATTATTTCCTATTTTTCTTTCCTTTTTCTTTCTTTCTTTTTCTTTCCTTTTTTTTTTTTAAGAACAGCCCCTTTATAATTCATTGCTGGTTAGTACATTTTCATCCCTGACTGGGTCTCCCCGGAATAGTGTAAACTCCATGAAAATGTTAAACCAGCTCTTCTTTTTTATCTCCTAATAAAACCTGCTCTTTTTGCAAAGGTTGGGCGGCATCGCGGGCCTGACTTCCCCTCAGCGGGCCATTTATTCCAGCTCTGCTGCTTCTCGGCAGAAAGCACAGGCTCCCTTGCGTGGCTGCGACCAAGGCACCAGGGGGTGGGGGTCACTTGGGGAGGTGCGAGGACAGGTCCTGGCCCCCTTCTCACCGCTATCCCAGACTACTTGGCAGCCGCTGCCAGCCTCAGAGAGGAAGAAGAAAAGGAGAGAAACACCCTTGGTCCAGCCACTTCTGGTGGTCCCTTGGTCGGCACAATTTTTAGCCTTTTTCCTTTTATTTTTCAGCGAGACCATGGCCCAGTATTTCGTTTCCAAATATTTCTAACGATTTTCTGCTAGAGCACAAGATAACGGAGCCAAGAGTTTGTGGGACTGGCAGGGGGGGTGGGGGCAGGGAGGAAGGCGTTGATGAACGGCTGGGTCTACAGCTCTGGGAGGGCGGTGTTCCTGCTGACGCTGCAGCCCAGCGCGCCTGTCCCTTCTCTTCCTCCCCTGCCCCTTCCCTTCCTCCCCTCTCCTTTCCTTTCCCTTTCCCTTCCTCCCTTTCCCTTTCCCTTCCTCCGCTTTCCTGCCCCTTCCTTTCCCTGTCAGACTTCCATTTCCTCCCCTTTTCTTCCCTTCCCTTCTCTTTTCCTTTCCCTTCCTTTTCCTCCCTTTCCCTTTTCTTCCCTTTTCATTTTCTTTCTTCTTCCTTTTGCTTCCTTTGTTTTTCTTGCTTTTTTCTTCTTGTTTCTTTAGGACGGCCCTGCTTCCCCGCACGGAAGGCTTTCGCTCCAGGCTTGCGTCACGGGTGGTGCTTTTTGCTGTCGTTCCGAGAGTTTGGGGTGTTTTTGTTAGAGGGAGAAACGCAGCCCCCGCCCCCCTCCAGCGCGTCCCGGGGTTTGTCCTGAGCACGACGAGGGGGACCCGCACTCTCCTGGGTGGGAAGCCGCGGCCGGCCGGCGCGCGCCCTTCCCGGGGCTCCGGGGACCGTCCCCAGCGGGTGCCTGCGCCCAGGCCGCCCGCGCGTCCCGAGACCGCCGCCTCTGGGCCAGGGGGCTCGGGGCGGCCCTCCGTGCGGGGGTCGCGCTCGCCCTCCGGCCCCGCAGCGCGGGGAGCGTCCGGCCCCGGCCGCCCGCGCCGCGTCCCCGGGCCCAGGTAAGGCCGCGCAGCCCGGACCGGGCGCGGGGCCAGGCGCGGAGCCCGGGGCGCCGGGACGCTGCGGGGGGTGCGGAGCAGGCCGGGCTCCCCGCCGCCCCGGGCAGGCCGAGGTCGCGGGCGACCCTGGACACGCGGCGTGCGGGCGCTTCGAAGGGCGCGGGGCCCGCGCTCTCCAGGAGGCTGCGGCGGGGCGGACGGGGCGCGCGCCGGGGGTTCCCGGGCCCCCTGACCCCGCAGCCCTCCGCGCTCCGCCGAGCCTCGGGCTCACCTCCCGGCTCGCCAGTCCCCTGCGGCCGCCCCCGCCCGCCCCCCGCGGCCCGGGGCCTCCCTGGACGCCGCCTGGGCGCGCGCTGCCCTGCTGCTCCGTGCGCGCAGCCGCCTGCCGGGAAGTGGTGCAGGGGGCATCCCCGCCACTCCCGCCCCTGGGGAGAGGGGCTGCTGTAGACAATGGGGAGGAGGGGTGCCGGGTGCGAGGGCCATCCCTGGGGAAGGAGCCGAGACTGGAACGGGGGTTCTGGCGGGGCCTCACAGGCACGCGGGGGTCAGCGTCCTGGGTGGTTTGCAGGCCCACAGCCAGGCCTGGAGGAGGAAGCGGTTCGCCGCTGGGCGCGCAGAGGGGACCCGCACCCAGCCTGGCAGCGCGCACAGGGCACCAGCAGGAATCACTGAGGCGCCTCTGAAGTGTCGCTGCGGGAATTGCCTGACGGGGCGTTCTGGAGGCAGGACAGAGCTTGTGCTCCTGGGCTGTACCGTGCTGTGCTGCAGGGCCAGGCCTGCCGAGAGGGGCGTCCTGGGGTCTCCAGGGCAGTGCCGGGTAGATTCCGGCCCATCCAAGTGGGTTATTCTAGGAGAGCGCACCACCAGCTTGCCCAAGACAGGCACTGCAGGGGTCCCTGCAGGTGGAAATGACGTCCTCAAGGCTCCCAGCTCTGTCCTCCCACCTCCCCCAGCCCAGCAAACGGCCCTTGGGCCTGAGGGATCCAGATACTTGTGTTGTGAGGTAGCCCGGGATGAAAAAAAGCTGGTAGAAATACTCGCCTCGCAATTAAATTGACTCTGGATACCAAAGTGAAAAGACTCAGCTGGTACTCATCAACTCGTGTCTCTGCTTCTTGTTGGGGGATACAGTGAAGGCTAGCTTTCCTTTTCATCTGAAAAGGCCTGTAAAATGTTGACTGTGCCATAAAAATTGCTCTACCCTTATGAGACAATTTTTGTTCAATTAATCACACCGCATATTTGCACACTGGTCATTGTTACATCACAAAGAGAATTTGCTGCAGTTCCCCGCGGTGGGAACGGCCAGCGACCTCACTCATGACATCAATCTTTACTATTATCATTGTCATTACTATTATTATCTGAAGTGTTAAATTGTTGCCAGGATCAATACAAGTCTACGCCTTGGAATATATTTTATCCCACTGTTGTTTTTAACATCTTCATTAAGAGGCCAATTAATTTTCAACTCATGACTCCTGTGAAGTTGGTGTGTGGGGAGCGGAGGGGAGGGGGTTGGCTGCTTTTGTTGTTGTTGATTTCTCCTTTGGAAAGAAAGAGGAGGGAAATCAATAACCTGGTGTTTAAAGTCAGGCGAAATTATTCCCAAACTCACCCAAGACTTAAATCTACCGAAACTTGAATTGCAAATCACAGTCGACCTAATACTTGATTTCTTAGTATTTTGGACAGCTGAATACCAGGACCAGTTGTTTTTTTTTTTTTTTGGGTTTTTTTTTTTACAGTCTGTGTGGGGTGTCTCGCTGGCTCTCCGCCCTCAGTGCAGCCGCGGGCTCCGTCTGGGGGGAGGCGAGAGGCCTGGTGGGAGAAAGCATCTTTATGTCTCTGTCTCTTTCCGTCTAGATTTGTTGGGGTGAACGCGTCCGATATCAACTACTCAGCCGGCCGCTACGACCCTTCTGTCCGGCCCCCGTTTGACATAGGCTTTGAAGGCGTGGGCGAGGTCGTGGCCCTGGGCCTCTCGGCCAGTGCCAGGTTTGCGGTGGGCCAGGCCGTGGCCTACCTGAGCCCCGGTTCCTTTGCCGAGTACACGGTGGTACCCGCCAACGTTGCCACCCCGGTGCCCGAGGTGCGGCCCGAGACCCTCCCCCTGCTGCTGAGTGGGACCACGGCCTACATCAGCCTGAAGCACCTGGGGCAGCTGTCGGAGGGCAAGAAGGTGCTGGTGACGGCGGCCGCGGGCGGCACCGGCCAGTTCGCGGTGCAGCTGGCCAAGAGGGCCAAGTGCCACGTCATCGGGACCTGCTCTTCCGAGGAGAAGTGTGCCTTCCTGCGGGCGCTGGGCTGCGACCGGCCCATCAACCACCGGGCAGAGCAGGTGGGAGACGTGCTGAAGCGGGAGTACCCCTCCGGCGTGGACGTGGTGTATGAGTCCGTGGGCGGGCCCATGTTCGACGTGGCGGTGGATGCCCTGGCTCCCCGCGGCCGGCTGCTGGTCATTGGCTTCATCTCGGGCTACCAGAGCGACTCGGGCCTGTCTCCCGTGAAGGCGGGCGCACTGCCCGCCAAGCTGCTGCGCAAGTCGGCCAGCATCCACGGCTTCTTCCTGAACCACTACCTGTCCGAGTACCGGGCGGCCATGGACGACCTGCTCCAGCTGACTGCCCGGGGGGACCTGGCCTGCCAGCTGGACCTGGGGGAGGTGGACCCCCAGGGCAAGTTCGTCGGCCTGGAGTCGGTTTTCAGGGCCGTCGATTATATGTACAAGGGAAAAAACACGGGGAAAATTGTAGTGGAATTACCTGCCTCTGCCGGCAGCAGCAAGCTATAAAAATCAACAGTGGCGTAAATCAAAGGAGGACGTTGGTGGACGCCTCAGAATTACTCAAATCAATGTCTTTTTAGTTGGAAATGGTTGCACTGTTTCTTAAAACAGAAGTAAAGTACTAATGAATAGGTTTCCCTTTTTCTTTTCTTTTCTACCCATTTTCCCCATCCCTTGGGGGGGAAAATGTGCTAATAAAAGTCTCCCCGACGGCCCAGAGGTAAAACCTTCCCGTTCGGCTCCCGAGACAGGGACAGCCTCACTCCAGACTTTATTGTTCCAGGGAACCAAATGAATTCCTGATGCAAGATCTGATCGAAGCAGCATGTCTTTAGCTTGATGAGATTTTAAAATAGGTCTTAAAAATAGTTCCCGCTGCCTTTGCCGTGGAAGAGTTTGGCCTCGTGTGAGTGAGCCGGGCACCGCGAGGGGCCCCCTGGGCGCTGAGGTCGGGCGCCTTTCCGGGGAGACACCGTCCCTCCCGTGCCACAGCCCAGGCAGGCCTCCAGAGGGGCTCTCCCCAAAATTTTCTGGGAGAACTGCCCCCCAGGAGCACAGCCCTTGTCTTAAGGAAGGCTCATCTCCTTGGCAACTTTGGTGTGGAGCGCCCACGGAGCACCAGGCAGGGAGTCTTTAGGAAGAGCCATTAGGTGGAAGGGAGCTTCTGTAAACAAAACGCAGGTATGGGAGGGGTCACCAACAGTTGGGGCGAGGGGCACAGGACAGGGGGAGCAAGGACCGTGGGCTCTCGGGCGCACATTCCACACCCCAACCCTGAGGAAGTGACAGAATCGCGGCCATGGGCAGGGGCGTGAGACAGCCTGTCCCTGAGGTCGCCCATGGGAAAGCCAGCGCCTTCCCGGCCCCCCTCCCCCAGTCCACCTGGGGCTGGTTCCACGTCCCGGGACTCCCGGGGGGGGGGGGGGGGCTAGTGGGCTCCAGAGAGAGGAAGGCGAGGGACAGGGGGAACCCGGGGGGGGGGGCCCTTCGCCATCCGTCTCTCCTCCCGAGGAGGGACCCGCGCACCCTCCCGCCGCAAACCGTTAGGTCTGTTTTACAAGCTTTGCTCGTTTCCAGGTACCTAATGTAGCTGTTCGCATGCCCAACAATACAATTTATATGGTAAACGGCGCCCGGTAATGGCCCGGCTGAACGTTGTGTCTGCGCGGAAGGGAAGTGTCACGGAAATAGCTGCCAGATTATGGATCCCGCCGAGTGTCACCCCGCACTCGAGACAAATCGAACCCGAGGCCAGTGCCGCCAGGGTGCGTGAGTTATGGGAAGGGCAGTGGCCCAGTGCACGCAGCTGCGTGTCCTCATCAGGGCCAAGGGCCCGGCCTGGGAGTCCACTCTGAAAGGCCTGGCCAGGCCGGGGTCACCTCTCCCGCGGGCGCCCCTGCCCCACCCAGCCGCGGCTGTTTCTGAACCCCGAGCCTTGCTTCTTTCATTTTAATGGGCGGTAATAAAGATGAAAGACCGGCCTTTTAACGGATGCATCCCTGAAGCGGTAGAAATTTATGATGTTGGGGGGAATCTACTAAATTCAGCTATGTTAAAGGGGAAAAAAGTTCAGACATCCAGGTTTCCAATAAAACCTGCACCCCTCACACACTCCTTCCCCAAACACGAGTCGCCCGCATGCTGTTCTCATTTATTCCTGAAAACACGCACGGACGCGTCTGCCCGTTCAGATAATGCTAAAAATATGTGTAAAGTTTTGGGGGAGTTCTTCCCCTTTTTCCTGAAGAAAAAATAAAAAGATTTGTAAATTGAGGGTCGTTGGGGTCGTGTTGCAGGCAGGCCGTGGGTGCTGGTGTTGCCCGCGCCCCTGGACCGGGCGGCCTCCACACGCAGAGGGTGCCCACCAGCCGCACCATCACGGGCTTTGTTTCAGGGGCCTGGGCTGGGGGGCCTAGTGGGTGAGAAGGACCTGGGTTCGCGGTGCCCGCGGGCCCGTCCCTGGAGAGTTGGGAGGTGTCGAGAATGAGGCCACCCGTCCCTCGTCCCGAGCACGTGTCCCAAATGGCAGCGGTGTGCTGGGGGCGGCCTCTTCTGCGGCTGACCAATCCACCACAGTGCACCACCAGGGAAACGCAGCACGGAGGGCCCTTGCCTCGCACGTGCCGGCCCGGGTTTGTGCCCTGTGTCCAGACAGGGGCCTGCAGGAGCGGCCCCCGAGCACAGAGCCAGGAGTCAGCGCAGAGCGAGCATGGGGATGTGCCATACAGCGTGAACTCGCTTGCCAAGGACGACGGAAGTTTTTGCAGGGCGGCGGCGGCGTAGTCTGCCGCGCGGGCACAGGCTGAGCCTCGTGCCTGGTCATTAGCACCGCATCCAGCATTTATCTAATGAAAGCGCGGTGACAAGTAGCTGCTGCTTATTAAAATGGAACTCCTGCGTTATGTACTTAAGGAACATTCCGGCTAATGAGGAGGTGGCGTCCCCACACCGCGCGGGCCGTGCTCTGCTCCCCACGAACTGCTGGAAACCTGACAAATGATAGCATTTAAGGCCCAGGCCTGCCGGAGAGACTGGCGTTTGGGCTTCCTGTTTCTGGCTTTTATTTGGTAGCGTCTGTATGGCTGCATTCGTGATGCTTTAACCCCTTCCTGGGTTTGCCGCGGGTCTGGGTTTCCTGCACGCCAAGTTCCTTTCAGAGCAGGGCGGGGTGCTCGGAGGAGAAAGAACTTCCAGCCACAAGCACAGGAGCCAGGAGCCTGCAGACGTGTGTCCAGGCACTGCCTGCCGTGGCCTCCACCTGGGACACAGCCCCCGGGGGGGGGGGGGGTGTGGCCCCTCGATGCATCATCCTCGCTAGGCCGTTGGGGACTTAGAGCACTGATTTCAGAAACTCAATACTTATCTCTAAGTTCCTTTTTCAGTCTTCATTTGCTTTTCCTTTATTTTATTTTATTTTATTTTATTTTATTTTTTTGCTTTTTGGGTCACACCCGGCGATGCACAGGGGTTACTCCTGGCTCATGCACTCAGGAATCACTCCTGGCGGTGCTCGGGGGACACTATGGGATGCTGGGAATCGAACCCGGGTCGGCTGCATGCAAGGCAAACGCCCTACCCGCTGTGCTATTGCTCCAGCCCCTACTTTTTTTTTTAAAGTGAGGATTTGGGGGACTGATTTTTTTTTTCAATTATGGCCCCAAATTAATAGCTAGGATCATTTTTCAGAAGTTAAAGCGTAAAATTATGGATTCGCCTGCGTTGAGGCGTCTACTACAAGCTGAATTTTATTTGTTTTAGCAAATCTTTCCCAATATGCTCAGGAATAGGGGGCGGGAGGGGGGGGCCAAGATCTTTATCCCTGTTTCCAGGACACCCTAGGGAACGTTGGCTCCCCCTTGCCCCCCATTTATTAATCTATTAGTCGTTGATTATCGAGAACAGTTTTTCTCAACGGTCACGGTCACGGTCCTCCGGTTGTTCATCGATTTGCTCAAGCAGGCCCCAGTAACGTCTCCATTGTGACAGCTGTTACTGTGTTTGGCATATCAAATACATCTCGGGCAGCTTGCCAGGCTTTGCCGTGCTGGCGAGATACTCTCAGTAGCTTGCCGGGTTTTCTCAACGATTAAGAATAATCGTTTCAGCTTCTCGGGAGCGCCCATGTTCCCGGGAAGCTGAGGCCTGTCCTTGCACGCAGGAAGGCTGCTCGTCTGCCTCCCGGGTGCCAGGTCAGTCACATTGCACATGTATGAAGCTCTGCCACTCTGCCATCCACTCCGCGACTAGGTCCCAGAGGCCTGGGCCTGGGCTGGGGAAGGCATCTGGGCCAGTCTGGGGGACACTGGGTGTCACCAAGGACCCGCCTATCCCAGGTCCCCGGCCAGGCTGCAGGAGACAGCCGGGGGCCAGCCTGTGCCTCAAATGTGCTGGTGAGTCCAAAGCCCCCTCGAGGGGGTCCCGGAAAGGCGCTGTCTGCCGGTGTGATATCAGAGCCACCAAAAGCAACGTGGGGGGAGGGGTGTCCTACCCAGGAGGACCCAGGAGGTGCTACTTAACCACGGTCCACTCCCTCCCGGCCTCTGCGCGACGGCCAAGCTGTGACCTGCACGCTCCGTGGCCACTGGAGTGGCAGCGTGGATGGTCAGGGGAGGGAGGGATGGTCAGGCTGAGGGCCGCCCTGCAGAGATGTGCCCTCATCTGTCCCCTGCAAAATGGAGAGTTCTGGGGTGCCTGAAGTTGGGGTTCGAGGACAATCTAGTTCTAACTTTACAAGCAGCCATGGGACCGAGTAAAGGACCCTGGCAGGGACCCCTCCCCCCCCCCACTCCTCACACCAGCCAGCTTGTCTCACGCCTTGACCCTTAGCCTCGGATCCCACTGAAACCTGCCCCTGGACCACCCGCTGGTGAGAGGCCTGGTGTGGGCGAGTGGATGGCCCACCCGAGGGACACTCAGCCAAGGCCCCCTGTGTCCACTCAAGTGCCCCCACTCGGGCCGGCCCTCCCTGGTCTCACACGGCCGAGTCTGCCTGTGACCTTCCCGTGGCGTCCCTGGCTCTCCCTTGCGTTTCCAGGCTGACCTCCCCGCCTGGGGGGTTTCCCAGAAGACATCCCTGTGGGCCCGGGGACATCGCTTCCTCCACCATCTGGCAGGGTGCTGGCCGCCCCTTCCTGCCGCTGCTGCCCTCTGCACTCCCAGTGGCCAGAGACACACCTCCCCATGCAGGCCCCATGTGCGGTCAGAGGCTGCCATGGCCAAGACGCCCCCTCCCCATCCCCGGGGCCAGGGGCCGCATGGGCCCCCGCATGGCTGGGAGTCCCGAAACTTTGATGGTCTCAAAGTTTGGTCGCAAATCACTTTGGAGAATTAATTTCTCACTTCTGGGCACATCACTGGTTGCGGGGGGGACGTCCAGGCAGTCTCGAGGCTGGGAAAGGGCGTCCACGGGTCCCAACCTGGTCACGCTCCACTGGACGCTGCTGCTGCTGCGGTCACCGCGGCCGACCCTGACGACTCGCCCGGCCCTCACCTCTCTGACGCCTGGAAGCTTCCACAGCGACAGGCCATGAGGTCTGTCCCCATCCTCCCCTAGCTGCTGCAGGACCATGGGAGACTGAGGCTGGGCCGAGTGGACACGAGGGCACTACTCAGCGGCTCCTGTCACGGTCAGCCGG